GGTATAGGTCACAGGTACAGGTACATGTCAAAATACAAAACAATATTCTGTCACACAAGTTTAACTGATTTTGTTAATAACAAATTGATGAAAAAACATTGTGTTGAGTAGAAAATAAAGCATTGTATGCACCACGGGGATTTCAAGATTATAATGCCCTTCAGGCGAAATATATCCCTCGGGCCATAGGCCCTTGGGCTAGTTTCGCCTTCGGGCATTATAATCTACATAATCCCCTTGGTACATAAATAGCTATTATGAGTATCGACGATCACTCGACGCTAGAGTAAAAAATAGGGTTTACGTTTAAAGATAACGTTAACGTGTTTGGTCCAACTTAAAGTGTCTAATGACATAATTAATTATTCCTATTTTTCTTTCTATAATATTTATCTTGCATTTTTCATATTATTGTGTGATGAAAATGTTGCCGGTACAATTTGTTGTAGGTATATACCGAGCTCGAGCAAAGAAATCAACTCAGATTAACGCCAGAAGACAGTAGGTTCCTCCGAACAATGAATAAAAGGACTCTATATAATATCTTACATATTTGAGCTAGAAGTGGCCCATTTGGTTTAACAGAAAGGAGGTTGAAACGGATGTTTTTTTGACCTTTTCTCCATGGTGCACAGTCAAAATTATAAATAAATTGATGAATGAAATTTGATAGAGTGAAATTAAATTGTGCAAACAATGAAAAATCAACATAATGAAAACCTCGGCAAGATCAAAACCAATAATATAACCCGTAATTTTCTAGCGTGACGATGATCGACCAATCTCTATGGAAATTGGAAATTTTCCAGTGGAAAGCGAAACAAAACGCAAGCCAAAATTCATCGCTTTCGCTTTGCAATCGGCTTCGTGATCGGAGTCCCCGATTCTTCCCGAAAGATGTTATAGAATAGCAAACCGAACAAAGCGTCCCATAACGAACGTCATTGTTTCGCTATGAGCTTATAGAATCCGCCCAGAGAACGTCCGTCAACCAAACGACATTGTTTTTCCATAGAAACTTTTAATAGAGAACCAGAATTTTTTTAAAGTTTACCCGCATAAAATTATAGAAAACCCGCAACTAATTGTTTAATTTGCCGAGTTTCACGGTTATGGGACAGAACAGAACAACCGTCGACAGGCCAATCCGGGAAAACGTACGTGAGTGAATGAGCTGTCCGTGGACACCTATAAATGGAAACCTTCATTGCCAGAAATTCAAGGTAAGGTCTTAAAACCTCCATTTTATTTGCATTATAAAAGATTTGATACAGTCCACTTATCTCACACTGAGCCTTGAAATAGTTAGTATTTTTTTTATTTTAAAGATTTTGAAAAGTCAAAATTTTACTAAAGATTACACACCTTGCTCTAAGGTTAAATCTAACTATGGGTCTATCACGATTGGATCAAAAATGATTTGCCATTGCTTTGGGGATTTTATTCTATTGTACACACAAACCGACCGCGAAAACAAGCAAGTAAAGGGACGAACATTTCGTATTTTGGACACAGACGTGCTAGTGTGGATGCTCAATAGCAATTGATTACAAAAGATCACGTTTTCCAAGAGTGATTTTACCCAAAATATTTGTATATGCTCTTCTCTCCTCGGATTGGGCAGAGTATCAGACCTTCATTCGGCAGGCAAACTTACACTTCTATAAGGGGGATATTTTGTGAATCAAAGATTGACGCCAGTATATTCAATTAGAAAACTGTACAAAGTGCTTCCAAAAATCCACGTTTTGATGCTGTAAATTATACTCCATCAATTATCGGAAAGAAAAGCAATGAACATTCAAATTATAAGCGACATCTGGATAATTGCAAAAATCTTTTTCAGTTCTGGACAGTTGCTATGATAAGTCAGTGTTCCATCAATCATAGAAAACTTGGTACGTTATATTTACAAATCAGAATCCGTTCCAATGAGTGATCGAGGGCCAATAAAAGATATGAACGAGCCTTTGTGCAGAAATTCCAGCGGCGCGATGAGTTTACACCTCAGCTCACATATCACATAAATTATATCAACATCAGTTGAGAGTAAAATTTATTTTTCTAATTTGTGGTCTCTGAACAGGAACGATGTTTAATCCTTCGAATCGCGGATGGACCAATATTACTTAATTTATTCGATTGTATAAAGCTGATCGATTGTCCGATCACTGACCAAAATTGTGGAGGTGAACTTCATGTTTGATATATGAATATGAATAATTCAGTGTATGGAGTATTTTAAATATAAAATCATTTTAGTAGGTTAAAGTAGGTAGGTACTCATTTAATGTTTTGGAGGCCGTAAATTCGTCAGTAGAGAGGTATGTTAGATGAGTAAGAAGATGTTCATACCGTTTTGCACGAATAATAATTTATGATTAAAGTTATTGAAAATAAGTGGGATGTTGTGCGTCTTTCCGGAATGAAAAATATCATTCTACGTTTAACTATAGGAGGTATATATTGAGTACGAGATTCTCGTCGGAATTTTGAATTCGAGTCTGAAACTCCACAGGTACAAATTTATTATAGTTTCACGGAATAGCATCACTAGATAATAATAATATCTTTTTTTCAATGCTAAAAATCTTCTCAACTCAAATAAATATCTGTAATTATTAAATGAAATTAACAAAGTTCATAATCAAATCCAATATTATCAATCACATAATAAAGGAAAATTTAAAAAGAAGCTCTTCATCAAAAAATTAGATTTTTATTGACTCAACGGTGCATGCTCAGTTGTTTGAATAATCCAGTCTTAATTGCTGTTTGTTTTTACTGCCGGCTTCATAATTCTCGGATATTCTTACCTGAGTCTTTTTCCATTTTATTTTATTTCCCAGGTGTTCCAGAGTCATTCAATACCAATCTGCTCCATTAAAATCGCCTCTGACATATTGTTTTCAGGAGCTTTTTCGATTGGTTCCTTTCTTGGGCTTCATTTTCGTGAAGCATTTTCAGATTTGATCTGGAAGAAAAATTACTAACATTAGTCAAGATACAAAAAAATAGTTTTTCAATGACTTTAAAATTTGTGTCTAGCCTTACAGTCTCTTAGGACACAAATAATCCAATTATACAAAAAGAGACGAGACATATTTCCATTGCTGTCAAACTTTCCCACAATAAAGTTTAAGTCACGAAGTATATTAGTTCATTATAAAAATAAGAGAAAACCGATATCTCCAAATTTCCTATTATCTTATTCAAACAAGTTAAGTAAGCCCCTGGCGGGATCCAGCTTCAACTTAAAAAAAAAAAAACGAGGACCAATAAATTTTTAATCGAAAGGGCATGTCGTTCTAGAGTTGGATGGTTCTAAATAATTCAGGTCCTGATAAAATGGAGAACAGAGCATTTAAGGTTGTTAGAAAAAAAAAGGAAAACCAATCAAGAACAACGCCTTTATTGGAAGATCTTGTTAGGAATCATATATTTGATGTAAAATGTGAGAAGCTTTTTATGTCAATACATGTTGCGACAAGTTCAGAATAAGTTTCCAAGAAAATGAGAGTAAATTAGAACACTCAAAAGCATATAAATTATAAATTAAAACTTTTGACATAATCTGAATTGATATTGACCCATTTCGAAACCATGTAACATGCTAAATGTTACTGTTTTTTTTCCCCCATATATTATTTCATAAATCAAATTATCGCCTTGAATGCTGATAATCTGGTGACCATCTGCTATTATTAAAAGAACTTAGAAGTAGGTTTCAGTCGAAAATAATAATAGCAAAAATAAACCTAAAGGGCGCGCTTTTCGTTTAAATTTGAAGTTCCAGTTTGAAACCAACACTTTCCGTTGCCCTTTTAAATTTTTCCGCTCGCCCTGAAAGGTCAACTCTGGCCTGGGGGCAGCCATCTTCCCCAACTGTGATTAACGTTCTCGTGAAGAAAAGTACCTTATCGGCCAACAGGCATTAGTTTGGCGAAATAAAGTTGCGCAAGGCAAAGTTCCGTTGATTACCGAAGAAATTTAAAACAAAAGTATCGTGATTAGCGTTGTATTCAAGTTTGAATTTCGAACCCCCTCGCGGTAAGTCCTTTTTAATTTTTTTTAAAGTATTGGTTGTTCATGGAATGCCTCCATTACTCAAGGTTTTCCAAGGAGTCGTTTTTCCGAGGAGCCGTTTCTTTGGGAAAAACTGTTTCCAACAAGCCACATTTCTAAAGATCACCATTTTCGTGGAGCATGGGCATAGAGTTTTTGAAGGTATGTCCTAGACGAATCAAGTTCCTCACGTGTTGATACCTGTATCTCCACATTTGACGAAAACTGTGAACTTCTAGCCTCTATCTACCTTGATTCAGGCTTGAATCTGCAACTTCCCTCGTCAAGCGACAAAAAATGTAAGGCTACCGTACTCTACCTTTTTGTCGGAATTGAAGGTAGTATAGAGTCTCAGGAGAAATCTACCTTATGATCAATTAACAAAATTAATTGATTTAATTTTTTCTTGAAATTACATTAAAATATTTAAAATTCCAATTTCACATTCTTGACACGGAAGTGAACTTTAAATAATTATTTCCGATTTTTGATTTACCGTATTTACTATAGATTTTTTCTCTACTTACCTTTCAGTATTGCCATATTTAAAGAATAGACTTATATTTTATTAATGATAATCAGTAATCTGAACTTAAGTCAAGATTGGACAACATGTTCTAAGTTTAAAATTATTGAGTAAGTACCTACATCGTCAAAAATTGATCAATTTTTAACTTGGGTAACTTATATAGGATAGATACCAAGATGGCGGTCGAGTAAGGTTCGTCGGCTGGAGAGCTCCGCTAATTTTGTTATTTCTGATTGGTTCTTTTGTGAAATAAATTGGGTCTGTGGCTAAGTGGCGTTGATAGTTTGTTGCGCATCTTCTAAAAACATTTCTGGTTAAATACCTTTCCAAAGTTGTCTGTGATAAAGTGAAAATCAGTTCTTGTGTTTGCGCATAGATAAGTTCTCAACAATCAGTGGTTCTCAAAATGCATGGTACCCGAGGTTCGAATAAATCTGAGTCTGAAGATATGGAAAAACTAATAAAAAAGGTTTGCACCAATTTTGCTAAACAGATAGAAGAAGGAATGGACAAAAAACTGAGTAAACTTGACAGTAATTTAACATCACTTGTCGACAGTTTAAAGAAAATAGAAAAAGGCGTTGAACATAATTCTGTTTGCATATCTAATATAAATATTCGCTTAGATGATTTGGATCAAAATTTAAAAAAATAATAGTGTTCGAATTTATGGACTTGATGTAACTGATAACACTAAAGTGCCTGAAACGGTTATTACATTTATTAATGACTCATTAAAGATTCCTTGCTCTTTGAGGGACCTTGATTTTGCTTTCATTGCTCCTAACACCAAAGCAAACACTAAATAAAAGGATCACATTCGCTCGTCAGTTTTGGTGAGGTTTTCTTCGAACATTAAGAAAACAAGTGTCATGACTGGAAGGAAACTTTTGAAAAATTCGGGGATTGCCATTTTCGAGGATTTGACTCGTGACCGATATCAAAAACTTATTGCTGCAAAAAAGAAACATGGTAAGAACACTTGGTCTTGGAATGGACGAATCTACTTTTGGGATGACCTATAAAAATGCAAATCGCTATTCACAGAATGAACTGTTTTTTTTTTTCGTTTTTTAATTTTACCGTTTATCCATTATGCTACTTAAAATTTTATTATTTCATTGCAATTGTTGTATTGTTTTTGTACGGATTTGTTTGAGTACCTCTGAATGTATCTAAATAATTCTATAAAAATATATTCAGTTTTTTTTTAATTTTTATTAGGTACCTATGTTTGGGTTTATTGGGTTCCTGTTTAATATATTGGTACTGAGGTGATGGATTTTTATTTTTTTTTTGAAAATGTGAACCATTTAAATATGGGTAAATATAAAGATAAATATAATAATGGTTATTGTTGGTGATTTGCTTGTTGATAAATACTTGCCTTCTTTGATTTTTGCTATATACCTCTCTCTCTACTAGCTAGGTATCTGTTAATTTTAATAAGAACCTTTTAAAAATGGAATAATAATTGTTAATTTTTTTTGGCGGAGATCTTCGCTTGAAAGCATTTATATATTTTCTGATTTCGAGCATTATAATACTTATACTTTCTCTTCTAGCTGAGGAGTGACTTCGTTGATCTTTTCTTTTTCTTGTTTCTTTCTTCATATTTTATTTTTTTTTTCTCTTAATGAATAACTTACTAAAAATAGCAAATTTTAATATTCGTTCTGTGTTTACTGGTTTTTTGGAGTTTAAAACAGTAATTGATGCTCATAATTTTGATTTGGTTTTTCTCACGGAAACATGGCTCTCCGACGGAGACAATGTTGGTGCGTTTAGTATTCCTGGGTATAATTTTATTCATAAAGATAGGGCCGGAAGGGGGAGAGGGGTTGCTGCATACATAAAGGATGAATATATAGCTGAATCTCAATCTTTTGATTTTGAAATAACAAATTTTCTTGAATTTTTAGTCTTTAAAATTAAATTAAAAGGTATGGTATTTGCATTTTGCGTGTTTTATCGTCCTCCTAATACAAATTTTAGCCGTTGTATTGAAAACTTTGACAACATTTTCTCTTACTTATACTTAACAGTAGATCATATAGTTTGTTTGGGCGACTCTAATATTGATCTTTTGAATGAAGTTAATCCACTTGTCCCTCTCTTTGAAAATTATAATCTTGTTCAGATTATTAGTCAGCCGACGAGAATTTGTAATACAATTTCTCTTCTTGATCCAATATTTATTACTGATGACAGTTTAGTTGCTGAATCTGGTACTTTATCTATGGATGGTGTCTCTGATCATTGCTTGGTTTACTGTTGTTTAATGGTGGAAAAACCTCGTACTGAGCCTAAGCTTGTAACCTATATAAATTTTAAGAATTTTAATGTACAAATGTTTCAGCAGGATATTGATCTGCTTCCATGGAATGACATATTTTATGAAAATACAATTGACAATAAAATTCATATATTCAATAACCTTCTTCTCTCCCTTTTTAACGCACATGCGCCTCTAAACACATCAAGAATAACAAAGCGTAAAGCACCTTGGATTACTCCTAATCTTAAAATCTTTATGAAACAAAGAGATGTTGCGTTACAGAAATTTAAGCAATCAAAGGATAATCAAGACTGGGAAAATTACAAACGACTTAGAAATTTAACTGTTTCAAGAGTAAGAAAGGAAAAAAGGTGGTACCTTGATGGTATCTGTTCCGAAAATAATTCTAAAAAAACCTGTAATTCCTTAAAAACTTTCAAGGTGTGCCCTGATAAAGAAATCAACATCCCCAATAATTTATCAAATCCTAATCAGATAAGCGCTTACTTTAGTGACTTTTTTCACAGCGTTTGGAATTGTGATACAAAAATCAATTTTTATCAACATAATTTATTCAATAACTCTCTCTCATTCTCCTTTAGGCTAACTGACATCTCGGAAGTTCATAAATTGATTCATAGTATTCGAACTAATGCATATGGGGTAGATGGTATTAATGCTAAAATGCTCAAACTTTGCAGTCCTTTAATAGACAAATATATAACTCACATTATAAACTGTTGTATAGAAGTAAGCTGCTTTCCTGATCAGTGGAAGATATCCATAGGGAAACCTCTACCCAAAGTTAAAAATCCTTCGAGTTTTAATGATCTTAGAATTATTAGCATTTTACCTATTATTTCTAAAATTTTTGGGAAAATCTTGCATAATCAATTGGTTGAATATTGCAAAAGTAATGCCATTATTCCTGAGAGCCAGTGTGGGTTTAGGAAGAATTTTAATACATCTGTAGCCTTGGTTGGAGTTACAGACGATATATTTCATGCCATCGATAAAAAGTTATCCACAGCATTGGTACTTTTAGATTTTTCAAAAGCGTTTGATACCATTAATCATGATCTCTTACTTTCAAAACTAAAATTTTATGGTCTCTGTAACGGTTCACTTAGCTTAATGAAATCTTACCTTGCTAATAGGGTACAGAAATTTTTATCTAAGAACGTCTTTTCGGAAGAGGCTGATATCTTGTCTGGTGTTCCTCAGGGGTCTATCCTTGGCCCTCTTCTTTTCATAATATACACGGCCGATGTATTGAACTCCTTGAAGTACTGTAGCGTCAAGGCTTATGCTGACGACACACAGGTTTATATTCACTTTAATCCTAATGAATACATTAATGCTATGTCATTACTAAATGAGGATTTGAACTTATTACGACAGCTTTCTCTTGATCATAACCTTAAATTAAATCCTGTTGAATCCAATGTTATGCTGTTTGGTCCACAGAAAACCTTCCTGGATTTAAACTTTGTTGTTACCCTTGACGATATAGTTCTGCCCAGGGTTGCGTCAGCTAATAATTTGGGCATTGTTTTGGATACAGATCTTAGGTTCAAGTTGTATATAGAAAAAATAATTCAAAAGTCATATTTCTCTCTAAAACTTCTATATAATAGCCGACATTTTCTTAGCTTCTCGTTGCGTAAGATGCTTTGCGAATCATTAGTACTCTCAAACTTTAACTACTGTGATTATCTTTATGGACCCTGTTTGGACCAGTTGGAAAAAGATCGAATTCAAAAGGTCCAGAACAATTGCTTGCGATTGATTTTTGGCTTACGCAAATATGTTCATATGTCCTATACTTTTAGAGAGGTTAACTGGCTCAATATGTCTAATCGTAGAGCTCTACATTTGGGTTCATTCTTAATGAAAGTTATAAAAAACCCTGTGGTACCATCAACGCTCAAAGAGAAACTTGTTTTTCGATTGAGTATCCATTCAAGACATATTAGGTTTACTGATATGCTCACGTTGCCTCACCATAGGACAGCTATGTTTCAGAGATCGTTTACCTATAACTCTATTAAATTATATAACTCACTTCCGGATGATATCAAAAAACTTGGTAAAAAGCAGTTTAAAACAGAGTATAAAAAACTGCTGCTCCAACTTCAGAACTCTTAGTGGATATTTAACGAATACTGTTTATTCGTCATCCTCTCTTTTACCCTATTGCTTTCGTCCAGTACGGAAATCGAGATCGACCTAGTCACTTTTACGCATTTACTTTGGTAATTGTTAAACTTTTGTTATATCTTTTTGTGTGTGTTAATTTTAAGTTATATAACTATGTTAACCTCTTCGTGGAATTGTGTGGTTCAGTAGAGTAGCTGTTTTTGGCTAGACTGCGCCACTCATTTTCACTCTTGTTTTCATCTAGATTGTACAATGTAATTTTGAAAACTTTTAATAAAGGCATTTATTATTATTATTATTATATAAGGTACCTGACCCAAATAAGGCCATGTACCTAATAAGGCCAGTGCCCTTTATTGCTTAATATTGAATCCCATTTTCAAAAATTACAATATTATTAAAAAATAAATCTATAATGCAAATCAAAAATTATTACAAGGGTTCCTAGGAACTTGTCATATGTCGAAAAATGGCCAACCACATATTTCATATGTCACGTTATAACTTTGTGGCTAGAACTCAATTAGCTTATATACGTGTTTATAAAGTGAATGAAGCGATTGTAATTTTTTAACAGACATTTATGTATTGAGAAAGCTACAGAGTAAGTACAGAAAAATATTCTTGCTAGATTTCTAGTTACAGACTTTTTTTTTATCAATTTAACATGTTCCTAATAAGGCCATCATAAGAAAAATGTTCAATTGGCCTCACATCACAGTGTTTTTTTTTAGAACAATGTGTCATATTATTACCTGAGTGATGTTTTTTAAAATGCCTGGAGCCTAACCAAGCAAGAGATGCTGCGGTTTATTTGTCCTAGTTGTATGTAGACCTATTTGAATCACCATCCCAGGACTTGGAATTATTGTTTTTTAGGAATGCAGCAAACGTATAAGTTCTATTTCGTGTACTATTTCTCAAATATTAACATTTTTATAAAAAATTGTATTTATTTTAAACATTTTTTAATGGTGGCTTTATAAGGAGCATATTGATCCAAATAAGGCCAATAGTAAGCGTCTTTGTTTTACGCAAAAACTATAAATTATATAAAAAAGAAGAAAAATTGGAGTTAATGTTCAGGTACTAGAA